TTTAGTTGTGACTGTACCCTTCTAGTCGGTTGATATCTCAGCGCCTTCACCCATGAAATCCTCCCTCCTTTTCTAAGGAATAGGGTGATTTCTTTTATCTTCACACTTTATCCCTCCACATCCCCACCAAGGTTCCCTTGGCATTTTATTGCATCAATTACTTTTTCCTCATGGATCATAAATTTCTCCCCCTCTATAAATATGTCCAGGTCTCCATCATTCTAAAAACTATCTTCCCTGTATCTTACTAACATATGAACTGTCTTCAGTCCTTCATTTTACATGCAGGAAGAAGAAGTCTATTGTTGTGGCCTCAATTTCCTTACAACCAGTTCACTCTTTGACACCTGCTGTTCTGCTTTGTTAATCCTCTTGACTATTTTGGGTTCCTCCATCCTTTGAGTTCTGGCTAATTTCTGCCTGTTAAATTTCTCCAGAGTGCTGCGTTTATCCACTGTCCTTCCTCCTTTCTCCCTTGGAGACTGTGCCTAATGGTTTCAATTATTTTCATGTTAACAATCCCAAAATCTGTATTTGTGGTCCTAACTCTTAACCCTAACCTCAATACCATGCCTACGACAATTCACCAAATATCTTACCAGGGATGTGCCTCCAACATCTCAAATTGATCAGATTTCAATCCAGACATTGCCTTTGATTCAAACCTACCTCCTCTCTTCTATGTTTTTGCTATTGATTCCCTCAAATACTGTTTACCCAACTACAAAAATTTGGAGTGATCTTTTACATTATTTTTTTCTTCCAGCCTCATAGCTCATCACATTTTCAGCTAAGCCCAGAATGAACACGTTATGGGTGGGTTCTTAGAACAAGCATATAGTGGTTTCTGGTCTGTGATGCAATGAGAAAAATACAGCCGTCCACGAAATTAAAAGATTATACACAAAATTAAAAATCATCAACCCAGAGGACCGCCCTTTGTTCTGAGATTATGCTCTTCATGTGTTAAAAGAGTCTTGTTTTCATAAAGTAAAATTGATAGTAGTGTTTAATTTGTTTTAACATCCTCGTGTGGCAAAATCATGCAAGGCTTTATTTTTTAATCATCTATTAAATCTAAAAATCGAGAAGGTTCTGCTATAAATTCCTCATTTGCCATCCCTCCTTTCCATTCCCAATTTCACCACCTAGCTCAGGGTTTTATTATCTTTTTTCTTGATAATTGCAGCAACCTCCTAATCAACTTATTGGTTTCTATGGCTTTGCTCTTTTCCAAATATCCTACATACAGACCACAGTCAGAGGAAACTTCTAAAACCTTGGCCTTGGTCGCGTCTCGTTCCTTCTCAACACCCCCGAACGGCCAGCATCATGATGATCTCTGTCATCTACTGAGATTCAAGATCCAGCCAAATGCCAGGTCCAGCCCTTAGACTCTGTGGTCCCACACTTGACACTTCCTTGTCCAGCCAACCTAGGCACTCTCTAGCTCACTACCTTGTTTTGTTTTCTTCTTAGTTTGTCCCCATCGTGGATCCTCTGACGTATTCGTTTATGTGTCTACTATCTGTCTCCTTCCCACACTTATGCTAGATTATAAGTCACTTGTGGCCAGAAATTTTATTTTTGTTCACTACTGATCTCTAAGGCCTAGTCCACGTTATATGTCTTCTATCATTGTTGAAAAATGTAAATGGGAAAAAAAGAATGAATGACCAAAAAAGAAGAAATGAAATCTCTCCTAACAACTCTCCTTAGGTCAATGGTTCTCAGCTAGGGATGACTTTGCTCACAGGGTCAGATGGTGTGCGTGTCTCTTCCTTCTTAGCGACAAAGAGAAATTCAGTCATGTACGTAGGAAAACCAGCAGTGCACACTCCTTTGTGACTGCCCACTTTAGGGGGCAAACGGTGTCATCTGATGCTCCTGGCCATGGGAGAATGGACGGTGCTGGTCTCCCCACCAGGAGTTGCTAGAAGTTAGGTAACTTATGAACAAAACTGGTGACGGTGAATAGAGAGAAAAGGGCAGTCAAAGATGAGGCTGTTACTCTGGAAACCCAACAGCCCTTCAGCAAAAGAACTCAATGCATCAATTGTCAGTTCAGCTGAACTATTTGTGAATGGAATGCTTTCTGTTGAATGAATGAATGCAGTTCCATAATTCACAAAGTCTGACTCAAAATGGGCTGAGAGATGGAGCACAATCTGACTGATCGATTACTGTACATTTTCCCTCCTGCAAACCACAGCCATTTGGATTTACTCCATCACCCAGACATTAGTAAGCCACAGCCAGTTGTAGGAGAAGCCCTGTCATTTATAATGTGACTAGATAATTGTTCATCGGCTATTTTCCACACTGAGAAGCATTTTTGATCTGAGGATTAAAGTCTTTAGGCCAATGATGACCTTCCACTTACACCTTTCTTCCAGTTAGAAGAATCTTATGGCCGTGAATTGTAGAGTTCTAGAATTCAGAAGGTCTACAGAAGTCTTTCAATTTCCTTCTGATGTCTTTTTGCAAACTGTGCCAAATTCACTAAGAAATATGCTTAATAGAAATGTGGTTAAAACTTTCTGAAAGGGATACCCTTGGTTCTGGTCTCCCTGGTCTTACAATCAGAAAGCTTTGTTGTTGTTGTTTTGTTGTGTTTTCTCTCCAACGCTAGACTGGCAAATCCCCCTTCTAACTTGTCCCTTTTTACCCCATTTTCTAAGGAGCTGTCAGAACTACTGACCCTTACTTAGGAAAGAGGCATATAGTACAGAATATACCCTAATAGTTTCCCATTACATGCAGATTCTGCTTAGGGAAACATTTTATTTAACCCAAGGTCTCCAGCAGTTTTACCATAGCCTCATTTTCAAAATATAGTTCTATATGTTGATCAGTCCTTCCAGAAATAAGGAAAAGATGCAGAGAAATTGCCCTAATATCCTTAATACATTTTGTACCCTTAAAATTAGGATGCAATCTATCCTTACTTTTCATCAAACTAGAAGGCTAAATGTCAAGTAAAACTTCTGTCCATAATCAAGTCTTACTGGTCGGGGTCAAGGTGGCATCATGTCATCTAAAATCCTGCCACAAGAGGGAGTAAAACCCAGCGATCTGCAGCCCATCGCCCTGCCCGAACAGCAAGGTTGGCTGTTTTACCTTTTTCTCTTTAAACAAATGATTCTCAGCTCAGTTGCCCCAGAAAAACACCAGCATCTGGTGTGCTGTGTTTATTCTGAGGTTACTATTTCTAAAAATAGTTTTCTGAAAAATTGCCCTCGCAGGCTGGGAAGCACGCAGGCAGAGTGGTGAGCGAGTGGGAGGTACTGCTGCCCGGAGGGAGGCTGGAGGCTGGGAGTGCAGGACAAGAAAGCACTAAAAAAGCACAAAACTCGTTGACATGCGAGGGCTGCAGGTGCCCATGAGGAGGGTGGCAGGCTAGAGCCAACAAGCCTGACAGAAGCAGAAGGTCGGCTGGGAGCTGTGAACATCCGTGCTGAGCCCCCCAGAAATGAAGAAGCAATTTGAGGCTGGGTTGCCCCTCACGGGCGGCAAAAGGGGGTGGCTCTGGGCAAGAGGTTTGCTTTAGCCAGATGGCAGCAGAAGAAGGAGGACTTGCCAAACTCTGCTGGTCTTCCAGACAGCACAGGGGAAAGTGTGTGTGTGTGTGTGTGTGTGTGTGTCCACATGCACATGCTAGAAGGTGGCGAGAGGAGAAAGTCAAGATTTTAGGGGTTCTTTCCATTTTCCTTGCCCAAGTTATCCAATCTTCCAATTCCTAGGAAAGTCTTACCATTTTTAGAGAGGCATTTGTGTTTTTCTATGGGTTCCATTCTAAGATGCCCTGAAGAACTAAAGTAAAGAACTTCAATAGTGGACTTTCTGTCCCTCTGAAGGGTATTGGGGGCAATAGTCCAGGTATCCCAGTGGGGAGCTGTGTGCTTCTCCTCTTCAGACACCCAGCCCTCTATGCAGCGGCTCCAGCTTCCCTTTCGCGTCTCTTGTCGCCATGTTGCCTTTGGAGAGTCAACTCCAGCTGCCCTTCTGTGGGGTGGGGACAGGTGGCAGCAGTCAGGTCCTGGATGGCACCACAGAGCACTTGAGAGAATCCAGTGCACAGACCACGCTGTACCAGCTGCTCCCCTCTTCCGCGGACCCCAAGGCATGTAGGAAGTAGGTTCTCTAGGTCTCCTCCAAGGCAGGTTGCCGAAGGCGGGGCTTCTCTGTGTCATCCTGATGAAATCTCAGGAGGATTTAGTCCACTTGGACACTGGGGGAGTCCACTCTCTGAGCTTTCAGGGTCACTGCTTAAATGTACAGGCTCTGAGTCTCTGGGTTCAAGCAGAAAGAAGACCAGCCTGGGTAATAAGAGCATTCTGGTTTCCAGCGCCTGCTCTGTTCAGATCTAACTCTGATTTCAGACAATTCATCGAACTCCTCTCAGCCTCCATTTTGCCATCTCTAAAATGAGAATGTCCCATGAGACTTTCTGTGGGATCTTTTTCTGGTTCAAAAGGTCCACAACTTCTGTCTGGTGAACGGAGATCTCCAACCACATCTAGCCCAGTGCCTCCACCCAAGAGTCAGTAGGGAGAGGCCTGGGGTAGATTGCCCGCCTGCCCCAGGGTGCAGAGCCATACCGTGTGTAGGAGGAAGCAAATTTAGAAGGAAACAAGCTTCATTTATTCTGCCTGATATGGTTATCTCTGTGAGGCTTGTGCCCATGCAAGCGAGATGAGGCTGAGGTCGCAGGGGAGGGGGACAAGCCTTCAGATGTCAAATGTTTAGCAAAGACTCTGAAGTCTGACGACTGAGACTTCCGCTAACTTTTGTCTCTACTTTTACAGAAAGGGAAAGAGGGAGAGGTGCGAAAGGGGTGGGAGACAGAGAGGAAAAGAGAATGAGAGAGAGAGTGACAAAAAGAAGATAAAAATTGATCCACATATGAGACTATCATCATGTAGGTTTCATGCAAAGATTAGGCAAATATTATCTAAATGACGCGTCATCTGGGACTTTTTTCTCTGACTGTCTTTCAGACAATCCCTGGCTATCATTCTGAACTAACGCTGAACTTCAAGCCACCGTGACACCTCCACGTGACCATGGAAATTGTCTGAGTGCTGAGAAGCATGAATGGGCCAACCACCTGAGAATCACACCAGGGTAGGATGAGCACGTTCCTAAAGCCTCTGCCTGCAGGGAGGGAGATAGGAAATGCACATGAAACGGTGGACAATTATCAATGCAACAGTGCAAAGGATGACGCAGGGCTAAATTTTATACAGGTCAGGTACACAGAGGTGGAAAACACATCTGTGAGCCATGGCAGTCTAGGAAGTGTTCACCGGCGAGATGGGAATTGAGTGCTGAAGTAGGTGTGAGTTTATGTATACAGACGGGTGTGTTTTGAAAAAGGAATCATGAATAAACCATTTAGTTGTCCGCCTTCCTCATCTCACCGTTAGCCAACCAAAGACATAAAATGTATCTCTCTGTGGTCCAAGTCTCTACATAGTAACCAGGAAAAGGCCCAGAGAAAGCTTTTCCAGTTTAAGTTATAATCATTGAGGGTGGAAAACTGGTGAGATGGCAAAATGATTGTGCATGAAGAAGGTCCCTGATCTTGTCTGTGAAGCTTGGCTATGCCCAGCTCCATTGACTAAGGGTCAGGTCACTATTACAACCTCTCCACGTGAAGGTGATGCTACGTGTATAGGCAATTCCAGGGACACCCTCTCTGGTTTTTTAAAAAATACTTCAAATATAGCATTGAGTTAGTTGGCCTCTCCATCAAAAGGACAACAGCACGTGATAAAAGGAGGGCTGCCGTGGGAGGACTCCTGGGACAACAGGCTAGGTTAAACATTAGCATCTGAAAAGAAAACTAGTCGGAAACTTGAGATACTGGAGGATTTCAGGAAGGGAAGGCCTCGTCTGAGACCACAGAGGGGCTGCCAACAATGACCGTGATGCCTCAGTTCAAGGAAATGGGCAATCCCAGAGTGCACGATGGAGAAAAATGTTCTTAACTGTTTCCTCTGGAAATCACCCCTGAAGGGATGCCAGGCTCTTCTAGAATCTCTACTCACTGGTGCTTCTAGCCTGCTGGATGGGTGAGAGGTAAAGTACAGACCTGATGGGAAAAGTAGCAGAGTCCATGGCTCTTCCTCTAACCCCTCCACTCATCTGCTAACTGGAAAATTCTCCTGGGTCGGGTCCCACGAGGTCACACGGATTTCTCATTTCACATGGACCGGAAGAGAAGCCACTGATGAAACACCAGAGGAGAGATTTTCCAACATGGTGTGATTTCGGAGACCCCTTCTGTCCCATCACGAATATGTCACAGTCCCCCAAATCCTCCCCGCAAGAGGTAAGTGCAGAAACTGCAGAAAATGTCTATTCCAGTTTTGTCCAGGCTGCCCGTGGACGAAAATCATCCATGAGAGAGTCCTATGGCTTCAGTTATGCACTCTTCCTCTTCGTGCCCCATCCCGTTACCTCCCCAACCCCCAAAAGACAAAATACATCCAGAAACAAAGGATGGCGAGTGGGGCTGCGGCGACCTGAGAGCAGGTCTGTCTGGTGAGAGGAGAGTTGGGAGCTGGGTGAGAGGATGCAGGGCCAGCACTGCTATCCCCGGAGGCTGGGCGGAGCTGGGGACACGAAGGCTCACGAGCGGGGCAAGCTCTCCGACTGCAGGGCTCACAGAAGCCCCGCTGGACTCCTGGCCCCGGCACCTCCAGCCACATCGACTGCGTCCCTGCTCCTTTGTCTGCTGCCCCTGTGCCTGCCCATCGGCTCCCCTCTCTGTCCTCATCCTGGGGAGCCAGCTGCAGCGTGTAGGAGAGACGGGCCCTGTCACGGCTGTCTCTAGTGTGTTATTGTTAGTGTTACGTTACAAGTCCCGTTTCCATGCCGGGGTCCCTCGGGGGTCATAACTAGGAGAGGCCGTGACCTTGTCAATAAACAGAACCCCAATCCTTAATGTAACCGCTTTGCATCCCCTAGGCCTGCTCCAAGCGTTTATATATCAGATTCCTCTCCCGGGCAGGAGCATCTCAGGGGGGCTCCCCTGGAAACGCCAGATACAGGGCACGTGAAGTGGATCCGATGCTGTTCCTGGTGGCAGGTGGAAGTCAGCGTGGGCTTGGCCTGTGCCCGCCCAGAGCCCCCCACTTGTCACACAAGGGTGTATTGGGTGAATTACCACCAGTCTGAAGTTCCTCTTGCAGCTGAGTTCCCATAAGGACGAGGCCAGGACATCAGCCCTCAATAAAGTTCTAGTTCCCTTAGAGGACCCTTAGCTGACTTTGATACTGAGCTTCACGTGTAAGAGCACGGAGCAAACTGTAAGCAGAGTGTGGAGTAACCAGCAGAGAGACAAGGCTGGCTTCGACCACCTTCCATATTTTGCGCAGATGAATCTACCCAACGTCGTGTGTTTTCTTTCCCAAAGCAGAGCCAGCTGATGAAGGGTGGGTAGAGCCGAGCGGAAAAAATGATCCAGACTAGAGTCTGCTCACTCATTCAACAAATATTTCAAACTGGGCGCCTACCGTGTGCCAGGGATACAGTCCCCACCTGCACGTGGATGCCACACGAGTGAGAGAAATAAAAGACAGTGTGATGGGGCCCGGGGGTTGGGGAGCAATTTTTTGTTTCCTCTTTTGCATCTAATACTCAACTGTCTCAGAAACTCTTGATGCCATAACCTTGGCCTCCAGAGCTGTCACTCTCCATCAGTCCCCTGGCTGAGCCCAAGGAGAAAGATATTCATGAGTGTCTATTGTTGGGACTGAGAGATTGACATTTAGAGAGAGAAGTAGTCCTCAACTCTGCGAACAAACGTAGCTTCAAAATTATACCAGCACTGGGAATTCCCTGGCTGTCTGGTGATTGACTCGGAGCTTTCACTGCTGGGGCCCAGGTTTGATCCCTGGTCAGGGAACTAAGATTCCACAAGCTGCACGGCACAGCCACACACAAAAAAAGTTATACCAACAGTGTTGGCTTGTTTCTAAGGCACTGCAAAGTGTTTATTGGGGCAAATGGGGGGAGAATGACAAGACGGTTGAGCTAAATGGGCTGTTATTATTTCTGCTGAGTGAATCATACTCAGTACAGAGCCAGAGGGAGCCAACCCTCTTCTTATAAATGGGGAAACTAAAGTCTGGAAAGAGAAAGATCTTTGTCTAGTCACAATATCAGCTCCTGATTTTGTAAACAAAAGTGTACGGTAGAGAAAGAAATAACTGAAAAAGGAGTGAAAGGGGGCAAATGAGGGAAGTGAGTGACCTAAGCAAGCCTCCCTTTTCTCTCCTAGGTCCCCGCAGGTGTCCCAGCCTCAGAGACTTCGGACCCCTTTGGAGAGACCAGTGAGGCGTGCGTTTACTAGGAGGGATGGAGCTTGCTTCCCTGACATACCCTAAGCCTCTAGAATAGCACCTGCCTGCCCTTGGTGCTGAGAAACGATTGAGTAAACAGAGCTGCTTTCGGGTCTTTCCTGGCCAAAGATCAGAAGTGAGGGGAGAGAAAGGAAAGCAGCTCTGAGGGCATGTGTTTCACAATTTGGGCTTCCAGATCCACCTTCATTATCAAGAGGGATCTGTTACAGAACACCCATCGGACCAGTGGCTCCCACTTGGAGAGATTGTATCAATTGGGCTGTAGCTATTATAAGACTGCCCAAACATTGTCTGTTGTCTGATCAGTAATATCTGTCCATGCAAACAAGCCCGATTATTTCCCAAATCAATGTAAATGGGGCTGGGATTAATAAATATAAATCAGTTTTTAAAATGACAGAATATCTAGAGACCTTCAGTCACTGTGTGTCGATGAACCCTGCGAGTATAAACACAAGCAGATACTTCGTTATTTTCTTGACATTCAAAAGGCATCAGAATGTTTGGAAATGACTGCTCTAGACCTATCCACTCATTTCACAGATAACGTTTCATGGATACTCTTGGAGAAGGACCCGGACCTGCCCACAGTCATTCAGCCCTTTGGTGGCAGGGCCAGGTATCAACAGAGGACATCTCTGCCCTTTTCTTTCCACCACATTCCCTTAGGTGGCATCTTCCTAAACACCCTGATCTGAAAGGCCTGCCCAAGTCAACCTAATTTATTTCTGGAACAGAAGTACTCGTGGCAGGGACTGTGTGCCGGACATTCATGATGACCACTGCCCTCCCATCAACTCAACGGGGCAGGTGATATCATTATCCTCGTTTTATAAGTTTCAAAAAAAATGGTGGCTGGAGGGGCTCCATCATTGCCACATGGTTAGCAAGTTGCAGAGACAGATGCAAACTGACTCCAAAGCCCAGATTCTCACCCATTTGGCTGTACACAACTTAAAGAGTTCATTTTAATGGAAACCACTGGCATCTCTTGAAACAAAATTTAAGGGCATCAAAAAGCAGCCTTCAGTAGTGTTGGCTCTAGCCCCCTAGCATTTGCTGTGGGCAAGGAAGGGCAGCAGACCAGACAGGGGGTCCTCGGACAGCCCGGGGGAGAGGACCATTTCTCAAGTGAAAAAAACAGACTGTCTACACCAGAACCACCAGAGTGTTTCCTAAAAATCCGTTTCCCAGACACCACTCGTCAGCAACTCCAAAAGGCTCTCTGGTGTGGAGCTGGAAACTCTGCAGTTGTGACAGACACCCCAGCGGCTTTGAGCACACCCAGGTTTGAGAACCCGAACCCCAGGCAGGGTGTGTCAGCACGGGAGGAAAAGAAAGGAACCCAGAAGGCAAGGGCCAGCTCCAGCCTCCAAGGAGCCCAGCTGAGCCCCAGAAACATGCCTGCTCTTTCACACGAGGCCAAACCCCAGGGCCTGGCTGGCTGGAGGGAGTGGGGAGGGACGTCTTTCATGTCCCTGGGTGTGCAGAAGGTTTGCATGTGTTTGTTTAGAACAAAGCCTGTACTTAACTGACACGAGAGAAACAGATTTTATAAATAGATGTGAGCATGAATGGTTTTTATGATTAGCTCGTTTTCAATCACCATGCCTAACCAGTGTCTGTGCTCAGCTAAGTAAATATCTCTGTGGTGATAGTATACACAGCACAATGGTCATTATTTAATGCTAATACGAGTACCATATGGGAGGTCTTATCATGCTAGAGCCCCAAAGCGTAATAAAAGCAGATAGGAATAGATAGGCAAGGGTGGGTTTTGCTGTACGGTAGGTTTGATAAAACATCTGCTCATGCAATGTTGGCCATGCAAGTATTTCTGCAGAGGTGCCTCTCCCCAGGGCATCTTTAGGACCAGATCAGCTCACCAGGAGCTCAGTTTTTTCCTCTTACTCACTCTCTGACCTTGGATAAGTCTCTGTGCTAATTGTTTAAACATTCATGTCTCCATTTCCCTCTTCTTAGGAGTCTGCTTGCCTCTCCAGAGAGTATTGAAGATTAACTCCTGGTGGAATCTTGAGTTCAGAAGGGTGGTACTGAAATAATGCCTCATTATTTTAAGCAGTCCAAAATATCAAAGGGAGACAATCCAGCACATTTTCCATCGGCAACTGGAAATTTGGGGACACGGGAAGTTTTCTGAGATTGGTAAAATGGCCTTGGACAGAACAAAGCTTCCTAGAGCTTGTACTAGGATAAAGACACTTGCCAGATTCTTTGCACTCCTGGGCACAACTGTGATGATAAAGGGCATGAAACTGGAATTATTCTCCACTGACACATAAGGAGAATGAGAATATTAAAGCTTTTAGTGCTGTGGAAGAGGGCATTTTAACTTTTCACAAAAGCATGAATTCTTTAATGTGCCTTTTGTGTCTTCATCGAATAATACTACAGTGTTTAGTGCAATAGAATGTCCATAGTCTGTTTTATATATAATCTGGTTTCACCTTCAGAACTTGCCCTGAAGAGATAACAGTGTTCAATTCTAGGATTCAGTGTTTCGCATCCATGTGTCCTAATGAAAACTGTCAGCATTAAGAACCCTTAACCCCAGTGTTTACTGCAGCACTATTTACAACAGCCAAGACACGGAAGCAGCCTAGATGTCATCAACAGAGGAATGGATAAAGAAGATGTGGTATGTGTATGGAATGGAATATTACTCAGCCCTTAAAAAGAGTGAAATAATGCCATTTGCAGCAACATGGATGGACCTGGAGATTATCATACTAAGTGAAGTAAGCTAGACAGAGAAAGACAAATATCACATCACTTATATGTGGAATCTAAAGGAAAAAATGGTACAAATGAACTTACTTACAAAATGGAAACAGACTCACAGACTTCAAAAGCAAACATGGTTAACAAAGCAGAAACGTGGTGGGGAGGGATAAATTAGGAGTTTGGGATTAACATATACACACTACTATGTATAAAATAGATAACCAACAAGGACCTGCTGTATAGCACAGGGAGCTCTACTCAATACTCTTGTAGTAACCTAAATGGGAAAAGAATCTGAAAAAGAATGTATATATGTATACGTATAACTGAACAACTTTGCTGTACACCTGAAACTAACACAGCATTGTAAATCAACTATACTCCAATATAAAATAAAAATTAAATTAAAAAAAAGAACTCTTAATATTTGTGCTACACTTTACCTCTACACAATGCTTTCACATTCATTATGTTATCTAATCCTCACAAGCCCAGTGGATAGGCACTCCGAGCATCCCAGTTTAAAGATGAGCAGACAATCTCAAAGGCTTGTGATTTGCCCAAGTAGAGTTACACAGGCGTAGGCCTAAAACTCAAACCCAGGACTTCTGCTCTGTAAGCCTGATGCTTCTGAAGACTCTTCTCCTTTGTAATTTGGAGTTCGGAATTGGGCCCAGGGAGGAGGAGTTATCCAGAGTGGTCACGCTCTGATGAACTCCAAAGATTAGGCTTGAGGTCCTGTTGTTTCTAACCTTTCTGGAGAAGCCAGTTCCAGGTCAGGCCTGATCTTTCACAAGCACTCTGCCATGGCTCTGGCCACTCCGGCCATCAGTCTGGCTGAAAATCTGGCATTATTCTGGCTTATTTACTATCAAAAAGGAAGTCAGACCTAAGTGAGAAGAGACGCTGCCTGACAAATGTTTAAGGAAAGAGACTTGAATTCCCAACTGTGTTATCTAATGTAATGGGATTCTTTCCAGCTGATTGGCTCCGGTCACCATAAATCCAGGAACAATGTGTTCTTAAGCAGATTTGGAATGGCCTCCAGGGAAATTGTACGTTAATGCAATAGATGGCGTGTGGCTCAGAAGGAAATGATACGCGTCTAGGTGGGGACAGGACGGACTTAAGCAACCCTTGTGATACCCTGGCTTCCCTGTGCTGGGAAACTGAGGGAGAGGAGTGCGGTGGGTGGTGTTTTACATGTTCCAGGCAAGACCCTGCTCCAGACCCTGCCCTGGAGCCTCTCCCTTCACCCCTCACCCCAGAGCCTGGGACCAGGAAAATCACCCCGTCTGACCCAAGGAAGCTGCTCCCCCAGATCAAGAACAGGGGCTGCTTTAAGTGGCTGTGGAAATCGTGTGTGTACGTGTGTTCACAAGCTCGTGGCCTGCTCGTGTAGTCACAGGAGGAAAGAGGAAAGGGTTGACAACTCAGGGTATTAACACGCTGAACAGCATGGGCCAGTCTGCGGCTGCATTCTGTTCTACTCTGACCCAACTGTCAGGCATGTTTCTTATTATTCTGTGGATTTGTCTAGCGCTGATGGGTGCGAAAAGGCTGGTGAAGCAATAGTCGTTTAAGTGAAAGCCCTCTACACGTTTCCCACAGTCTTCCCTCATGCCTTGGGGCCCTTCAGGGTTTAGAATTACAGCTCTCACTAAATATCCCTAGACTCACACTCACAGAAGCTGTGGTGAAACGGCACCAAGTCTGCCATGGCAATCCTTGACAAAGCCGTGTGTCCACACACTGGTCAGAATGGAGGACCCCCTAACGTTTCAGGAACGTCTAGCACATGGCAGGCGCTGGTCTAGGCGCTCTCCGTGCATTTGACTGATTGCATCTTCACAGTGACACCAGGAGGTAAGTGCTCTCGTCACCCGCTTTTGATAAATGGGGAAATTGAGGCACAGAGAAGGTAAGAGACGCGCCAAGGCCACACAGCTAGTAAGTGGTGGGGCTAGGACTCAGGCCTGTGCAGTCAGACCTCAGCATCTCTAAGCTCTACCTCTTTTCTGGAAACCAAGAATGGAAAAAGGACAGTTAAGAGTTATTATTTCACACTAAGCCTAACATCACTAGTTAAGAAATGAAACACTCGTGACATATGAATAAAGTCTCTCCCCTTTACAAATGGGCACATTTTAACGTAAGAATTATGCTCTGTTTCTATCTCAATATGGTTGCCAGCCATAAGCTTTTGGCTGGATTATCATATTTCAAAGGATTTGCGTGGAAAGACCTGCGGGGAAGCTGTAGGGGGAGAAAGCTGCTGCATTCTGCACGTGATGACATTCCTGACCCAGTGCAAGTCGGGCTTCAATAACAAGTAATCTTTCTAGCTGTGGTGACAAGTTGTCCTGAGCCATCCAACACACATCTTTTCTTCCCTGTTGACCCATTGAGGGGGGTGAGAGACAGATGGTCTGGGTCTGTGGAGGAGTATTTTATTTTGTCCTACTCAAAGCTAAATAACACGAATGAGGCAGCTTTGAGCTCACTAATTCTGTGCTCTCACCAGCTGAGCCATCACCCTGGCTTTCACAGGAGAAGAGGAAGAGAGAAAATTTGAGATGGTAGCCAGTGGAATCTCTGGGGTATGGAACACGAGCAGGATGCTTATGGGAAGTGTTTGGAGAAAGGCAGCAGAGGTAAAACCGCACGGAGAGTCCATCACCAGGCAGAAACTGCTCTCCGAAGGCTGTCCTACATTTCAGTATTTTCACCCCGATTCTCTCTGATCACTTTTTTAAATATAAGAATACATCACGGGGCTTCCCTGGTGGCGCAGTGGTTGGGAGTCCGCCTGCCGATGCAGGGGACGCGGGTTCGTGCCCCGGTCCGGGAAGATCCCGCATGCCGCGGAGCGGCTGGGCCCGTGAGCCACGGCCGCTGAACCTGCGCGTCCGGAGCCTGTGCTCCGCAACGGGAGAGGCCACAACAGTGAGAGGCCCGCGTACCGCAAAAAAAAAAAAAAAAAATCACTTTGAGAATTTTTTTCCCCTCATAGGTGATAATATTCATTTAACTCTTGATGATGCAAAAATATCCTGGGGTAATATTATTTTGACCTGATTCGAAATCTTACGTTAAAAAACAATGTGGCAGTGTTATAACCATCAACTTTGGGGACCGAATCAATGCAGATCAATCCAATGACTAAGTCACTTTCCCTAAATTCTTCTCATTTTTAATAGCAAGAGCTCTTCAATTATTAGGAGGATGTGTATCATGTCATTTTAAGCTATAGCCATACTTCCTCTTAAATTAGAAGATAAAAGGCCCAGTATATACTGCTAGAAGGAAAATAAAATGCATGAAAT